ACCTAAAATGACTTAACTGCCTTAGGAAAGCCCCTTCAGCTGTGCTTAAAATGAGCCCACATATCCCTCTTGTGGTCTTTGCCATTTTCCTTTGTGTGGGATGGCAGGTCCCAGCATGCTGGAATAAAAATGCTCTTGCTGATTGTATACATGGGACTTCTCCAGGACCCTAACATAAGCTCTGATTTCCTCTCCTTGGAACTGAGGTCATCTTGCCTTTCTCTGTTCCTGATAGCACAATGGTACTGTTCCTGTCTGCCCATTAATAATACTTTTTTTTTTTTTTTTTTTGGTTTATCGAGACAGGGTTTCTCTGTGTAGCTTTGCGCCTTTCCTGGAACTCACTCGGTAGCCCAGGCTGGCCTTGAACTCACAGAGATCCGCCTGGCTCTGCCTCCCAAGTGCTGGGATTAAAGACATGCGCCACCACCGCCCGGCTATAATACTTTTTAATACATGACTCACTGTGTATAGACTTGAAGCTTTGCAGAGTCTGTGAAGAAACTGTTCCCAACACCATGAGGCTAGCTGAAGATAGGAGGGGTCATGGAGAAGTGACCCAGGCTTCGCATGGCTGAAGTGAAGTCTCCTGAGGCAGCTGTGAGATGTCTGCAGTGGTGTAACTGGATCCAAGCCTCCTGAGGCTGAACTCAGCAGCAGCCATGGTCACAGGGATCTTGTAAGCTGGGGTGGTGTCTCCTCTGAGCATCCCTGGGGTGTTCACCCAAGCAGGCTGCCAGGATGATGGTCTGGCCAGTCATCTATGGGAGTGTCCATTCATCATCTCCTCCCTGCAGTCAGCTAAACACAGGGAAGGAGCCTCAAAGCTCTTATTCCAATAGTCATGTGACTTGCATGTCAGTTTCCACTGTTCAGAAGGCAGAAACAGCAAAGGAGCCCACAGCAAAGACTTCACAAAGAGGCAACATTCTCAACAACGTTTAGGTCAAATATACTCAGGGTGAAGGAAGATTACTATTGGAATGGGGACAGACATGGGTTCTAGCCTAGCTAACTCTTTGGGAGTTGTGTTCCCTGGCCTGAGCCAGTCAGTTAAAAGAAGTACTAGAGGAAGCCAGGCATGGAGGCATATGCCTGTAATCCCAATGACTGACAGTAGAGATAGCAAGACCATGAACTGGAGGCTGTCATTAGGACCTATTGAATTGAGGTCAGTCTAGGCTATATGAGAGCCTGTCTCAATTCCAAACCAACAGCAAAGATAACCAAAGCTCCAAAGAGTCAGTGAGGTCATGGAGGCAGGTCATCTGTTACTTCACTGTGTTTGGAGAAAGAGAACTTGAACATGTCACCATTTTTTTCTTTAGGTTCACTTAAACAAATTTTGTGACTATTAATAGTTTCATATAAGCAGAATATTTAATGTTGAAAAGGAAAATGATAGTTTCTCTGTTTCTGTGACCTCAAACTCAGTGTTTTGTGAGTTCCTGTGTCTGGCCAGGGCTAGCTACAGAAGCTGGGAGTCTTCCTACCAGAGGAGCAGGAGACTGAACTGGTCACCCAGCCCCAGTCACTGGGCCTTTAGTACAGTATAGAGTCTCTTCTTGGGGCTCCCCTGGCAGGGGTGCAGGGAGTTGCTCATGCCAAGGTTGGGCAGTACATGAGGGAGATGAAGATGATGATGTCATTCTAGGGGAGAAAGAAGAGGTCAGACAGGGGCGGGGCAACTGTGCTAATGTAAAGTCTCAGGTGCAGCCTGAGTGTCCTGTCTACACCACCAGCCACCATCCTTCCACCCTCTCTAGCATCTCCTCCACTCTCCTCAGGACACAGTCTGCACAGGTTACTCTGGGTCTGTATGTTGTCACTGGGGTAAACAAATCATGAGGGAGAGGGTAGGTGGTGTGACAGGAGGGGTGGACAGATGGACAGTTTTCATCAGTGAGTTTATCTGCTGAGTCAGGAACTACAGGACCTGCATTGTGGGTTATTTGAGAGAAGTTTCTGGAATTGGATGGTTCTGACAGAAATAGGAAGGGTTGAGCCTGTTCTCTTCCACCACTGTCAAGGGTAAACACAGCTGGGTATAAAATCAGAGTCTGAATGCTGGGGACACTGTCAGGAACTGGAGTCTGAAGGGTCACACAGCCATGCCTGGAGAGGCCATGTTTACTCAGAATGAGGACTGGGTAAAGGTGTGATGGCAGATCAGCTGTGAAAGGTACCTTGCATGATTATGTGTGTCTGTGTTCATGTGCATGTGTGTGCATTGAGTGTGTACTCATGTATGTGGAGGCCAGAGGACAACCTCAGGCATTACTACTCAGGACACCATTCACCTTGTGGTTTTCGGTTCTTTTTTGTAGGCTTATATTCTTTGCTTTGGTTTTTGTTTGCTTGTTTGATTGCTTTTGTTTTTTTTTAAACAAGATCTAACTATATAGTTCTTGAAGGCCTGAAACTGTATATGTAGACCTTGAGAGCCTGAAAGTCAAAAAGATCCATTTGTCTCTCCCTCTGCCTCCCAAAAACTATAATAAAAGGCATGCATCCCTATGTTGAGCCCACCCTGGGTGTAAATATTTAAAATTACACTTACCTATTCTGTGGGAGCAGGGCACACATGTGCTACAGCCCGAGCAGCAGTCAGGTTCTCACACTGCAGTCTGACACTCCCATGGTCGCATGTGTGCAGAAGACCCACATGTGCACACCACAGCCCAGGCTGCTCTTCCACAGAAAGTGCCCCTCCCCTGTGAAAGCATCATGGCTACAGGGCCCAGACACTGCTGTTGGGGAAAACATGGTTGGCACTGCAGGAGACTGATTACAGCATCCTTGACAGAAATCATCCCACAGCATAGATCCTATGGGCATTCCACAGAGAACTGGAAACTAGAACAGAGTCCATGACTTAGGATTCAGGGTCCAGCAGGTGGCAGCAGTGAGACTGAGCACAAGGGGCAGCTGGGATCCTGAAGGACCAACCAGACCCACTTGTGTAAAAAAGCTGGGGACCAGCAGCTGACACATGGCCGCCTCGTCAGGTCCAGCCCCTCCTTGGTGACTTAGAAACTGGTGAAGTTTTACTCACAGACCCCAGACAGTAGGGCAGAGCCAGATAAAACCTAGAGGTGAGTACTCATGACCAGGAGGACACACTCTCAGACCTCACTGAGGATAAAGATGTGGTTCATCTGGTAGAGTGCTTACCTGCCTGGCACACACACAACCCTAGGTTTTATATCCAGAAGGAGATAACGGGGCACAAACAGGGCACACCTGTCACCCAGCACTTGGGAGCACAGCTTGGGCTGCATGAGACTCCATCCTCCTTGCAAAAAAAAAAAAAATCCTTGGAAACGTACAATAGCCTTGTCCCCTGTCCTGACTGACTGTACAACTGTGGCCAATTCATCTCTGAGATTCTGTGCCTTGCTGGTCGGTGGTGGCACACACCTTTAATCCCAGCACTCGGGAGGCAGAGGCAGGCGGATCTCTGTGAATTCGAGGCCAGCCTGGTTTACAGAGTGAGTTCCAGGACAGGCACCAAAGCTACACAGAGAAACCCTGTCTTGAAAAACCAAAAAAAAAAAAATTCTGGCCTTGGCCTATCCAAAGGTTCAATGAATACAGATGTGTGTCCTTGTGTAGTGGGAATTAAGGCCCTGGGAGATTGTGCCTGGCTCAGATCAGGGAATCTGAGGACCATGGGGACTGTGAGGATTATGAGGACGGCAGGGACAGCAGATGTGACAGAGGCGGCTGCACAGCCCCCTGCAGGGAAGCATGGAGAAGGCCTTCAGTGCAGGAATCTAAGGAAATGGGAAGTCGCCTCTGCACATGTCACTCAGGGAGAATGATGCCACTTCCTCTGGTACAATCTTGTCCTCCACAGAACTGAAGGAACCTTGTCTGAGGAAGGGGAGGATGACCCTCCTACAGGACCAGCCCTGAGGTCACCACAGCCTCTACCCCTACCCCTCACATCTCCACCCCAGTCACGGGGCAGTGTGTCCACTGTCAGAGATGTCCCAGGCAGCATGTCATGAGTGACACATTGCTGCTCTGAGCCTTCTTTGCCAACTTCATCCAAAGAAGGTTCTAGAACAGCCACAGCTAGAAGGAGTCACTCAAGTGCTTTGTGAGAACAGACTCATGGAAGCACAGCAGCAGATCTGTCAACTTTGAGGGGTTTTCAAATGCTGCATGGAGCAGGCAGGCTGAAGTCTGTGTGGAGTGGAGGACTACAAGTACTTGATGGGATGAAGTCCAGTCAACCTGCCATGTGGCAGTCATGTGACATGTGCCAGGGCTTCTCTGATCCTTGGCATCCTCTTCTGAGGTGTATGAAGGTTGGTGGGATGTAGAAAGGCTCCTTCAGACACTGGAGTAGTTTGGAGTCACTGTCTAGGGAAGGGAGACGATCACCCAGGAAACCCAGGGTGGTTACAGACTCGGCAGCAGAGAGCAGGCCAGGGTGAGAGTGTCCTCTGGGCCTTGGTTCTGCCGGGTGCTGTGAAGAGTCCCTGAAGGACAAGAAGAGGACAAAGAGCAGATGGTGGTGGGGACACCGAGCTAGGGTTGGGGACGGAATGTATTTCCTCATCACCTCCATCCTCGCTGTGTCTGAAGTGAGCAGAAACTGACCACTTCTGTGCCTGAGGTTATTAGAGAGACAGACAGACAGACAACCAGTATGGTTGGAGATACCTTGAGAAAAAGATTGATGGGGCGAAGGCAGGAGTGGAGGAAATCTGGAGGTGAGGAAACAGTGATGACAGACCACATGGGAAATGGACAAGACTGGGTAAGACAGGAGTTGAAGGTGGAAGAGAGGAGTACCCGGCATGGTGAGGTTAGTTCCATATCTTTCTGTCAAAAATGGGATCTGGGCTCAAGGGCATGGCCATCCTGTCTGTGACCACAGGGCGGATCTTCTGTAACATGAGAAAGAAGAAGCCAGAATCATGAAGGAAGTTGCTGGTCACAAGGAGGTGGAGATGGGGAGGTTCTTCCCCGACTCAGTCCTCCACATGAGAAGGCCCAAGGGTTGTGTTCCACTTTACCCTGATTCTCTCCTGACTCCTGAGTACCCCAGGGTCCCTGCACAGGGCTCCTCTCCTTCCCCATGGCTCTGCTGGTCTAACTTCTGGGAGGGAATCAGGCCATGATTTGGATCCTGCTTCTGCTGCTGTCAGCTGCATGTCTGCAAGCTGGTGAGTGGTGGGGACCTTGTTAGCAGGGACTCTGCCCTAACCACAGGAGGGGTCAGTGGAGCTGGGAAGAGCAGGCTGTCATGTGGACAGATGTCTGCTGGAGGAGCCAGTCAGTCCTCTGTGCCCCAAGAGAGAGCTCATCCTCAGAGTGGGTCCATCCCAACCCTTCCTTGTCTGTTCTGTCCATATGGGACAGTGGACATAAGGACAGTCCTGCCCTGTGCCCCACACCTGCCTGTGGGTGAAGGCTCAGGAAGCTTTGGGTTGTCCTTTCCATCCCTGCAGCAGCTTCAGATTCTCTCTGTACTTCCCAGGTAACTCTGCAGGATCTAACAGAGTAAATGCCTTTGGGGTCGACCAACCAGCAAAACTCTCTGGTGTCCAGGGCGGCTCCATCGAGATCCCCTTCTCCTTCTACTATCCCTGGGAGTTGGCAGAGGATCCACAGATGAGAATTCTCTGGAGATGGAAGAACTTCCGTGGGGAATTTATCTACAACTCCACGCCACCTTTCATACATAAACATTTCAAGAACAGGCTCATCCAGAACTGGACACAGCCTGAGACATCTGGAGTCCTCAGAATCCTGAACTTGAAGAAGAAGGACCAGAAAAAGTACTTCTGCCGTGTTAGTCTGAACACAAGACATGGCGTGGAGGAGTGGCAACCAGTTGAAGGGACCCAACTCACCATCACTCCTGGTGAGCACATCCCAGGTCAGGCCCTGGTAGCCCTGGCTTCCTTGTACCATACATGTCATTAGAGATCTTACACTTCTGACCCTTTCCTCAGATTCCTCTCATGTGTTCTGTCCTCTCCCCAGAGCTCTGACAACTCCACCTTTCCTCTTCCCCACAACCATCCACAAACCTTAGCTGCTCTCTCTGAGCTGCCCCTCATTGGCCTCAGATCCACCCCACCCCCAGCCTCAGCTCTTCCCAGATGGCCCAGTCTCCTGCTCCTTTCTCCAAACTGACTACCGCCCTGCCCACCCCACCCTCGTTGACACAAATCCACGTGGATCTGACCTCTCCAGGATGGAGCGGCCTTCACCTGGTCCCATGTCAGGGTCTCCGTTATATCTAGACTTTACACCATATCTCGTGCCTTCCACAGTAGGTGCCTTCTGGTCACGTGAACCCCTCCTCCTCTGGGTCCCCCCACTTCACCAGTCTCTAGACACATCCCTCACCTCTCCCTGCTCCAGGTTCTTTTTCCCTCCCTCATTTCCCTCTTCCTCTCCTTCCTCCCCATCCCTCACCTTTCCCACACAGACCCTCATGAACCTCCAAACATCTCTCAAGCAGTAGACACGTGGCCTCTGTGGACTTCACACTATTGCTTGCCTGCCTTCTGTCTTGATTATGTGGAGCATGTATATATGGTGTAAGCATGTATATATGTGCATGTGTGTGCATGTATGTTTGTGTAGGTTCATGTGGGGGGGGGTGTTTAATTTTTGTGCTTGGGAATGCCAGAGGTGGATAGTCATTGGGAGTCCTCCTCTAATTAGACCCACCTTATTCCCTAGAGGCAGGGTCTCTCACTGAACCTGGAGCTCACTGTTTAGGGCTAGGCTGATGGGCTGTGAAGCCCCCCATTGATCTTCTTGTCTCCATCTCCCATGGTGTTGTGGTTACAGGTGCTCACATGGTCTGTCTTACAAATAAGATGTATGACATCTGAGGAAGGAACACCCAAGGTTAACCTCTGACACACATTCAAACACACACACAGACACACAAACACACACACACATGCAAAAATTTAATAAAAAAATTTAGAAAATAAAATATGAAATTAATAGTCAAATAATCAATTATCATTAATTACATTGTCCAATGTCAGAAGTTCCAGTGAAATGTGGGTTTGTCCCTTCCAAATTAGACCCACCTGCCTGCCCCTGGCAAACCACTCCTCATCTTAACCCTGTACTGGTTCAGGATAAACTCCACAGACAGACTTGACAGGCACCTTACATCTGCATTTCTTGTGTCTCCTACATGTTTTCCTAAATGGCTTCTGTTCTTCCAGCCTCCTCCCTCTTCCTCCTTTACCAATGTCTCCAGCCTTGGCGGTAATCTGTTAGGTGCTTGTAGAATGATCAATTTAAGGCAGCCATGTGTAGATGTAAACAACCGTCTTATTAAATAAGAAACACAGAGCCGATTCAGAGAAGAAAGCTAAGGGGTCAGAGCTAAGAGCCTCACCCTTCCTGCTTCAGTGATCCTCTTCAACCAAGAGAGCTCTCCGAAAGGGAGCTACTTCCTGTGTGTTTGTCTTTATAGTCTTTCTGTTCTGCCTTCTCATTGGTTGTAAACCCAAACACATGACTGCCTCGTCACTGCCTGTATGTACAGGCCTCCAGGTCCTCTATGGTATTGAGATTAAAGGCGTGTGTCTCCAATGTTGGCTGTATCCTTGAACACACAGAGATCTACCTAGCTCTGTCTACCAAGTGCTAGGATTAAGTGCGTGCGCCACCACCGCCACACTCTTGATATGGCTCTAATAACTCTGACCCCCCGGCAACTTTATTTATTAACGTACAATTAAAATCACATTTCAGTACAAGTAAAATACCACCATATTTCCCCTTTTCTATTTTAATAAAAAGAAAAAAAGAAAAAGGTTATAACTAACAAAAAAACTATATACAAAAGTACAATAACTATATACAATATATACAAGTAATAAATACTTAAACAATGTCTAGTCCATTTGTATTTGACAAATTCAGAGAAAATAATTTCATTATCTATCCTATTTTGGTAAGTACAAAATGTATCTAATTCACTTTCTATCCTAATTAATCTTCAACTATAACTAACCTTCAACTATAACTAACTAATCTTCAACTCCCTCAGAGACCCAAGAAGGAAATAATATTAGCTAACAAAAATAAAAACAGGAAGTGCATGCAAGCAACTTCCAAAAAATTTGTGAGTTGACAGAAACAGCCAGCTTTCTGGACAGTCACCTGAGGTTTCTCCACAGTGCTGGGGCATCATCTTCAGCCTATAGGCTTAGCGCATCTGACAGACTCATTTGTGAAGTAGGATGTACACAAGGTCAACAGTTCAACCTCACATTGGGTGAGAGCAGTCCATGTACCAGAAACACCTGAATTCCACTAGTATCATGTCATGATTCAGGATTTTAAATTCTGGAAATTGTTGATGTTTTTTTAATTCAGCTGTCCATTCTTCTTGGCTGTGTATATATGGCTTCATCTCAGCATTCTGTTCTTCTCCACATCCCTCTATCAAATGCCAGTCTACTATTGAGAGGCATGAGCTTAGTTATTCTTCAAGAATAACTGTTTCAGCTGCTGTTCCATAACACATCAGAAGCCATCGGCCCACTGCCTGTTCAGCTGCCTTCGAAGAAAAGGGCACTGTACCTTTTCTGAATTGTGAAGGCCACTTCAGGGATGGTGCCATATTGTCCTGGCCTCAGAAGATGCCTTTTGATAAAGCCATAACCACACTTGTTTTGGCAAAAATCAGTAGTCCTTTGTTTCATGTCCTGTCTGTCCATTTTGTCCTGTTGATTTGAGGATACTTTGTTGTCCAGTGGCTAACTTTTGCCACAATGAAAGTCAACTCCATATGCAGTTTCTTCAATGCCCATATTTTCTCTGAAGTAGATTGGTACTGCCAGGAGCCAACATGTCTCATAGTCATAACAAAAAAGAAAAATTTTCTAAGTTATTAAAACGTTTTAAATGCCATATTCTGCAGATCTCTGAAGGGTTTGAAGATGACCTGTCTAAAATATATCTGCTCAATTTTTAAAACATATCTAATATGAATACAAGTTCTATTGTAATGTCTAACTACTAACTTTCATTTCTTTATATCCTAATAGTTGGTAATAATAACATTCAAGGATCAGAAAATTGCATTGTTAAATGAACAGTATAAGTACAATTAGAAATATACATATAGCATTTTCTAACAATATCAATTTCAATATAATTTGCATACAATATAAAACAATCCAATCCAATGTAAAGTATTTAAAACTAGTAATTGTCTTTTTCTTCTTTTCTTTTCTTTTCTTTCTTTCTCTCTCTTTTTTTTCAAAACAAGAACCTTAAATCTAATCTCCTTTGCTTAGCCTTTTTCTAACCCTTGACAACAACTTGTAACCAACCCCCCTAAACAATGAAAATTATCCCAGAACCAAAACCCATTAAAAAGACCAAAAAACCACCCACCCCACACCACTTCTTTGGGAATGTGGGAGTCGTATTCTTAATATTGCTTCCTGCTGGGTATGGGCGAAGTTATCTTTATCCTGAAAGAAAAATTTTGGATTAATTGTCAAATTCTAGGAAAGGTAACTATATCCTTCATTATCCAGTCTGTGTATAATGCCAAAGTTCAGGGTTTATCTCAAGTCCTTATTCAAGTAGTCTTTGAGACTGGATCATCTCAGCTAGTCATCTCAAAATTGCTCTAAGCACCTTGTAGTTCAAAGCTGATCTGTAGATGATGTTTGACAGCTTAGTGATATTATTATTGTCCATGTGGAATTGTTGTTGTTGTGGGGCCCCATCGTCTTCCTGGAGACTTCAGTTGATGTTAGGCCTGGCCGTGAATTCCTGCAGAAAACTGATAAGAGACTCGAACACAAAGACATATATATGCAGCTAATTGAAGCCTTTTTTCTAGAATTAATTAGTACTCTATATGACCATTCATATCTTAACAAAGTTTAAAATGTATATATAACTATATATCTATATATATTAATCTTATAAATTTTGATATAAAATTCATACTTTAAGAAAAGTTTAAAGAATCAGAATAGAATCAAAGAGTTGAGATTAGTAATCGAATAGTCCCTTAATTAATTTGGCTTTTCTCCTGTCCCATAGCAGAAGATGGCTCTTTTATTCTGGCATGATACAGGGAGTTTGCATTTTCGTTTTAACAACATGCTTGAATTTAAAGAAGGAGAGAGCCATTCCCAACTCCAAAGTCAGCTTTAAATTTTAATTGAACTGGGACTATTAGAAGACCAATAGTGTTAAATCTATAAAGAAAAGCAGAAACAAACATTTAGGAAGACATAAAATTTTTTAGATAATATATATGCATAAGCCGTTTCACTCTGTTTCCTGGAATAGATGATTTGTCCCTTTTCTTCAGTTGTCTCATTTGTCCAGTGTTCTTCAAATTCCTTAACCTTCATTCTCCTAAAAGACAAAAACACAAACCTTTCCCCAAGACTAATTTTGGGGATGTTCCTTTTTGGCAAGTTATTATCTGATTGAATGAAAAGGCATGTGTTACTGGTATAAGTTAGTTTAAATTGGATGTTCATGCTGGTTGAAGAACTATCACCTCCTCTAATTAAGAGGTTTCTCTTGTTCAAATCGAACCTTTATCAATTTTGATGGTACCCACAGCTTATCTTCTCCTGTAGAAACAAAAGCAAAACCTCGTCCCCAACATAACACATACCCTGGTTTGCATTCTGAGGTCAGCACATCCTTAAAGTATATAGGTTGATTTAATTCTGTAGTTTTTTCTATTATCCAATGTCTCTGCAGCTGTTGTTCCTTTCTCATTGGCAATGAGAAAATTCAAAGTTAATAGAGTATTATGCAGTCTATTTCTGGGGGGTTTTGTTACCCCTTTCTGTTTATTTAGCATATCCTTTAGAGTTCTGTTTGATCTTTCTATAACTGCTTGACCTGTAGGATTATGTGGTATGCCTGTAATATGCTTTATATTGTAATAAGCAAAAAACTGTTTCATTTTAACAGAGACATATGATGGAGCATTGTCAGTTTTGATTTGTGCAGGTATACCCATGATGGCCATAACTTCTAGCAAAGGAGTGATTACAGAATCAGCTTTTTCAGAACTCAAAGCAGTTGACCATTGAAATCCTGAATAAGTATCGATGGTATGGTGTACATATTTCAATTTTCCAAAATCTGCAAAGTGAAACACGTCCATCTGCCAGATTTCATTCCTCTGAGTACCCTTTGGGTTACATCCTGCTGGTAACGGCGTTTGATTGTAGAAGGAACAAGTAGGATATTTCTTTACTAGTTCTTTGGCTTGTTGCTAGGTTATGGAAAAATCCTTTTTTAAACCTTTACTATCGACATGATGTTTTCTATGAAATTCTGAGGCCTCCAGCACACTTCCTATCAATAATTTATCAATCTCATCATTGCCTTGTGCTACAGGGCCTGGCAGACCAGTATGGGATCGAATGTGAGTTATATATAAAGGATGACTCCTTTTCCTGATTGTATCTTGTAATTGAATAAATAGTGAAGTTAATTGTGAAGCATCAGGGATAAATTCTGCAGTCTCAATATGTAATACTACTCTTTCAGCATACTGAGAGTCAGTTATTATGTTCAGAGTTTCTGAAAAATCCATTAATACCAACAGAATAGCATACAATTCTGATTTTTGAACTGAATTATAAAGACTTTGAACCACTTTACTTAAATTTTCTGATTTGTAACCTGCCTTTTCTTGTATGTTGGCATCTGTATAAACTGTACGAACTCCAGATATGGGTTTTTTCCCCATACAATTCGAGGCAAGATCCTATCAGCTCTCTTTATAAGATCAATTCTATCACTTTTGGGATATTTGCTGTTAATTTCTCGCAAAAAATTGCTGCAAGCTCTTTGCCAAGGTTCACTTTCTGTCCATAATTTTTCAATGTCCTCCTTAGTTAAAGGTACGACAATTTCTGCTGGGTCTATTCCTGCTAATTGACAAAGTCTCAATTTTCCTTTCCAAATCAAGTCAGAGATTTTTTCCACATAAGTTTTTAATTTTTTATTTGGTTTAATTGGTAAAAACATCCATTCCAATATAATATCTTCCCTTTGCATTAATATTCCTGTAGGAGAATGCCTAGAAGGTAAAATAACGAAAATGCAATCCAGCTTTGGATCAATACAATCCCCGTGCCCTTCATGTACTTTCTTTTCTACCAAGGCCAATTCTTTCTCAGCTTCAGGTGATAATTCTCTTGGACTATTTAAGTCCTTGTCACCTTCTAAGGTTTTGAACAAATTATGCAGTTCATCATTTTTTACCCCAACAATAGTTTGTAGATGAGAAATATCTCCAAATAATCTTTGAAAGTCAATAAGAGTCTGTAGTCTATCTCTCCTAATTTGCACCTTTTGGGGTCTAATTTTTTGTAACTCTATTTTATATCCTAAATAATTAATAGAATCTCCTCTTTGTATCTTTTCAGGAGCAATTTGTAATCCCCAGCAAGGCAAAATTTTCTTTACTTCTTCAAACATTCTTTCTAAAGTATCTGCATTTGAGTCAGCTAGTAAAATATCATCCATATAATGATAAATTATAGATTTAGGAAATTTTTTACGTATCACTTCCAATGGCTGTTGTACAAAATATTGCCACAGAGTTGGGCTATTCAACATTCCCTGTGGGAGGACCCTCCATTGAAATCTTTTAACTGGTTGAGAATTATTATAAGTAGGCACTGTGAAAGCAAATCTTCCTCTGTCTTTTTCTTGTAAGGGTATTGAAAAGAAACAGTCTTTTAAACCAATAACTATGAGAGGCCATCCTTTTGGTAACAGAGTAGGCAAAGGAATTCCAGATTGTAGAGAGCCCATTGGCTGAATTACTTTGTTAATTGCTCTAAGGTCTGGTACCATTCTCCATTTACCAGATTTCTTTTTAATAACAAATACAGGAGAATTCCAAGGGCTAGTTGATTCTTCAATATGATGAGCATTTAACTGTTCTTCTGCCAGCTCTTCTAAAGCCTGTAGTTTCTCTGTTGTTAAAGGCCATTGCTGGACCCATACAGGCTTGTCTGTTAACCATTTTAAAGGTAGAGCTGTTGGTGTCTTTGGAAGATTATCAGTTGTTGTGCCCTGTTCTTGTATAATATGGATGGCTGGTGACCACTCAGAATAATGCCTTCTAATATTTCTCTCAGAAACATGTGCTAGTTTATGATTTGTTTCTGAGATTGGAGGGATGTTAATCTGAGTATTCCATTGTTGCAACAAGTCTCGACCCCACAGGTTCATAGCTATGTTAGCCACATATGGTTTTAATTTTGCTCTCTGTCCTTCTGGACCTATACATTCGAGCCATCTTGCACTCTGTTTCACCTGCGATAATGTCCTAATTCCTAACAGTTGAACATTTACCTCCTGAACAGGCCAAGTTAGATGCCAAAATTTTGGTGCAATTATGGTAACATCCGCACCTGTGTCTACCAGACCAGACAACAAAACACCATTTATTTTTATTGATAATTTTGGTCTTTGTTCATTAATAGAAGTTTGCCAAAAAATTTTCTTTATGTTTTCTCCTGAATTTTCTATTCTCTCTGTTTCATCATCCTGACCAGCATGACTTATTCCAATAGGCATTTGGTTATTTAATTGCTCTGAGTAGGGGTTTCATCTATGACTGCAGGAAAGGTTTGAACTGGATTTGCTATTGGGGCCTGCATGAGGCCCCTCTGGGAGTTTCCCGAACACTGAGGCAAAGGATTACCCTGTCTGTCCCTTGTTGATCTACATTCGTTGGTCCAGTGTTTTCCCTTACCACACCTTCTGCATACTCCAGAAGGAAGGGGCATTCTGTTGCCATTGTTCCTTGAAGAAACATTGTTTCAAGAATGACCTGTTTACAGTCCCTTTTCAAATGTCCTTGCTTTCCACATCCAAAACATCTAACATTCCTCAAACCTTTTGAAATTGCTTCTCCTACCCACATAGCATCATGCTCATGAGCTTCAACATTAACCGTGTCTCTAATCCAATCTTTCAAAGGTGCAGATCTTGCCTTTAATGGCCTGATTATTCTTTTGCATGCTGCATTTGCATTCTCAAAGGCCAAAGGTTCAATTATTATCTGACTAGCTTCTGAATCCAGGACCATTCTCTTTACTGCTGAAGCCAGTCTTTGTAAAAAATCTGTGAAAGATTCTTTTGGGCCTTGTATAACCTTTGTAAATGACTCAGTTTTTTTCCTGGTTCCTCAACTCTGTCCCATGCATTCAAGGCTGCCGTTCAACATAAAATTAGGGTTTGGACATCATATAAACATTGTGTTTGTGCAAACGCATATTGACCTTCTCCAATAAGCTGATCCTGGCAGACTTGTATTCCTTTATCCCTCCATTGTTTTTCTATGTTTTTAGCTTCATCCTTGAACCACTATGTCTTTTTTCTTGTCCCCAGGGCCACGTGCACACTAGACAAGGGCTCTGTCATTGACTTACTCCTCATCTCCACTGTGAGTTCTTCCACCAGTATTTTTTTCAATCAGCATTTTAAAAATTAATTCATTAACTGAATATTCCTGCCCCTTGTTTTAAAAATATTAAAATTAACAATAAAAACACATTTTTCTTTTTTTCCATTTCTTTAAGACAGAGTCTCATGTGTCCATGCAGGTCTCAAATTGCTATATAACCTATGATGGCCTTGAACTCTTTCCCAAGGGCTGGGACCAAAAGTTATTTTACCACTTCTGTGTCCCCTGTTTGAGATGGACTCAGGGCCTTGTGCACCCTAGGCAAGCACTCCACCACTGAGCTGCATCCACAGACTCCAAAAGAAATGTTTTATCCAAGCAAAATATCCTCATTTAGGGCAAAGATATCGCACCTGGAGAAATATTTGCAACAAGTATTGAAAAGAACACTGTGATTGACAAATTAATTCTATTTCCATAATTTTAATTTTATAGCCAATTCAATAGTACTCTCCTTTGCACGTTTTCTATTTTATGTCTAAGCAAAGAGACCCCTAGTGATAGATTTCTCTCTCTCTCTCTGTCTCTCTTTCCCTCTCTCTAGCTCTCTGTCTCTCTGTCTCTCTCTCCCTCTCCCTCTCTTCCTATCTTTCCTTTGATGGGTCTTTCTCTAAGCTGAACTCACAAAGTGGGCTAGGACAGTTGGCAGTGAGCCACAGAGATCTGCCTATTTTCCCCTGAAGTGCTGGGATTACAAGTGCATGGCAACACACACAGGTCCCTGGGGATGCTGGGAAGAGGAAGGGTTGAGTCAGGAGTCCTCAGGCAGATGCAGAGGAGACAAGATGAGACAGCCCTACTGAGAAAAAGTACCAAGTTAAACATGGATAAGAATTACGGGTTAATTTAAGTGTAAGAGCCAGTTAGTAATAAGCGTGAGCTACCAGCAGTGCATTTATATATAGTTATATTAATATATAATATAATATATATTAATTACATAAGTCTCTGGGTGGTAATTTGGGAAGTAGCTGCCAGGTTTAGGGAGTTGTTGAAGGGACAGAAACTTCCACTTACACCAAAGCCCCACACTGCTCTTCCATGGAAGTGCCCGACACCTGTGATAGCAGCATGGCTGCAGGGTACAGTCACCGCTATTGGGGAAATGGAGTTGGCACTGTAGGAGACTGATGGCACCAACCTGGACAGAAATCATCCCACAGCAGGTCCCTATGGGGATTCAACAGAGGACTTGAAACTAGAACAGAGCCCATGACTTGGGATTCAGGGAACAGCAGGTGTCCTAGTTCGAGTTTCTCTTGCTGTGAAAAACTCCATGACCAAAGAACTTAGGGAGGAAAAGGTTTATATGGCTTACACTTCCCAATCACCTTCAATGCTAACTTCCTTTGTCTCCTCCCAGCCCCCAAGACCACCTCTCCAAGCCCCACCACTGCAACTTCTGCACTCACCAGAACTGCTCTTACAGCCACAGAAGGGAAGAACAGTGGGAAGAATCAGCCCCTGGGTCTGGGAACCACAGTTGGGTTGGCAGTGGCTGCTGCTGTGCTCCTGGCTGGGGTTTTGGGGTTGATAGTGTTCCTCGGGTGGAGGAGAAGGAAAGGTAAGTGGTCCAAGACTATACCCCCATCACACTTCGTGAGTGTTTCCACAGAACAGTCTACACCAGAGTCCTGGAAGGGGATTGACGACAGCCCAGATGGGAGGGTCAGGGGATAGCTGAGTCAGGAAAGAGCTTGAGTCCTGGACATTGTCCTCTAACACACTGGAGTGTGCACACTCACATACACAGTGAATAAAATAATCTAATACAATTAAAAAATGAAAACAATGACAGCCAATGGTGATCCACACCTCAGTAAGTGCACTTGGGAGGTGGAGGCAGGAGGATCTTGAGTTCAAGACTAACCTGGATTATATAAGAATTTATCTCAACCCTCCTCCTTCTACAAAATAGCTCAGAAAGGGCTGGGAGTGGTGTAGAGGACACTCTCTGGCCTTCCAGGAAAGGGAAAACATCTCAGGAACTCGAGAGCAGTGTCCTGCTGGTAAAGGAGGCAGGAGATGACCAGAGGGAAACTGGTAAATCAGGTCCCCAAGCCTCTGATACAAGAGGACAAATGAAGTGCTATGATGACATCAGTGTGTGTGAAAGGTCTCAGATGGGGATTCAAGAGGGTCACTGGGACAGATAACCAGGGAGGAAGGAGTTTACTAAAAGTTATCGATGCCATGGACAGACAGAAATGTAGATACCAACATGGTAGGGCACTCTAAGGAGATTTCAGGCTTCACCAACATGGCAAGGACTCCAAAGAGGAAAGAGGGGTTCTTTTTATATCCTGCTTTGGATAGGGGTGGTTTCACTGCACAAGCTGAACCAGGAAGGAGGCAGGAAAGGGAACAGTATGTGTGGACACTAATACCATCATTGACTAAAATCACTCCCAGGTGAGAAACCCGGGACCTGGATGGAAGCAGGTCAGCTGGAGAGAACAGTGTCTGGACAGTGTCTCTGTGAGAGGTGAAGGGCGGTGATGTGGCCTGAGCAGCAGCTGGTTCTGACATTACAGTCTTAGGGTGTAGAGAACAGACTGGAGGGGGCCAGGCTGTGTCACTTTGCCACAGTAGACCTGCACATGGGGATGAATGGCCAGAACCAGGAAAATGTTGAGGCAAAAGCTTTCAGACTTTGTGATGAGCCTGGTGTGGTAGTGCATGTCTGTAACTCCAGTGTGTGGAAGGGGCAGGCAGGAGGATCAGTAGTTCAAAGTCATCCCTGGGTGCAGAAGTCCTCAAACAAACACTCAGTGATTAGATGGATGACATGGGGACAGAGAACAGGAACAAGTCTGAGTGTGTTGAGAAACACTCTGGTGAAACCACCAAGCCATATAGGGACTGAAAGAGGAAGTGTGTTTGAGAGTGTGTAATGGCGGTTACTTTTCCACTGTGGTGATAAAACATCATGATCAAACGTAACTTGTGGAAGGAAGAATTGGATTTGGCTTGTGGTCCAGAAGGAAGGTTAATAGTGGAGGGGCAGCTGAAGCAGGACACTGAGAAGTCACATCTTCAACACATGCAGAAAACCAGGGAGAAAGCTGGAAGTGAGGCGGGGCAATACGTTCTCAAAACTCACCTCCTGTGACACATAACTCTTCCAGAAGGCTGCACCGCCTAAATGGTCCATAACCTCCCAATTACGACAAAGATTTCAAATAGGTATGCCTGTGGTGAAGATTTTTCACTCAAACCTGCACATGGATGGGATGACCAGCTGAGTTTCGGTTGTATTTGAAGTGCTGTGTGGATCTCACGGAGTTGTAGGAAAAAAAAAAAGAACAAAAAGAAAAGTATACTTGTAAGTCAAAAGAGAAAACACAGAGAGTTAAGAACACTGGCTGCTCTGGCAGAGAACCCGAGTTCTGCTCCAGCACCCACATCAGGCAGCTGACAACCCCCTATAACTCTGGCTGCAGGCCTGTCTGAAGCCCTCTCCTGAATCCCACAGGCTTTACTCTCATGGCACATAAATTTAAAATTCTAAAAACAAAAAGTAGCAAGAATCTTAAAAGTTCTTATTAATAAAATGAAACCTGAGGCCAGTTATTGGGGTGAATGCTGGAAGATCAGAGACGCAGAACAAGCCACAGTTACCTCACCTCACCAGTTCCTCAGCTGATCCTGTTTCCTCAGACTGGAAGCCTCTCAGTCCTCATCCGGAATGAATCTCAGCTGAACTGCTGCTAGAATCCTAAAAGCTTAACCAGCCAAATGCTTCTCCTTTCTGGTCTTCACGCCTTATATATCTTTCTGTTTTTGCCATCACTCCCTGGGATTAAAGCTCACTTGTTGGGATTAAAGGTGAGTGTCACCATGCCTGGCTATTTCTAATGTGGCCTTGAACTCACAGAGATCCAGAGGGATTTCTGTCTCTGGAATGCTAGGATTAAAGGTGTGAGTGCCACCATTTTCTGGCCTCTGTATCTAGTAGCTGTCTGTTCTCTGGCCCCAGAGAAATTAATTTTAGGGTGCACAATATTTTGGGAAACACAATACCACCACACAAAACAATAACAAAAAACTTTAAAAGCTATGGTAGCTAAATAAATAAATGAATAATAAGTTTTTCTAAAGAATACGGTAGCCCTCAGAGGGTAAAAGGTGTCAGTGTCCAACCGTGGGAGCCACATGGTGAAGGAAATCGACTACTGCAAGTGCCTTCTGACCTCCATACAAACTGCGGCACACCCCCTACCATATAATAAATAAGTGGGAAAAAACTGTGGTCATTAAAACAGCAAAGTATGCACCAAGACAAATAGATCAGTAGAGTGAAATATAATCCAGAAAGAGGCGGTCTCTAAAGGCACACAAAGGAAGTTGTGTGAATGCAGAGTAGATGAGGCAGGGGTGGAGTGAGGGGAACTCAAGGTTGGTGAAGGAAGCAGAGGAGACAGGGGTGGACATGGACCTAGCAGAGATCTGGGGAGGGTTGCTGTGTAGGACACAGCCCAGCAGAGGGAGCTCAGGCTCCTCTCTGACTGCCTGGGGCAGGTTCTCTGCTCCCCTGTCCTCTGAAGGTGGTCTGAACACACAGGACAGCTGAGAGGGATGATGGAGGATCAGCACTGATGTCACACTGACACTGTTTCTTCCCCACAGGACAGAGGACTAAAGCTGAAACCCCAGCCAGGTGAGCAACATCCGGGTCCTCTGCAAGACTAGCCAGTGCTCTTAACCACTGAGCCATCTCTCCAGGCCCTTCAAATAACATAAAAAAAGGAGAACCACACTCAGGACTCTTCACACCTCCCTAATCACTGACTCATCCTGTCTGCTCCCTCCTTGTCCTCTATGACCTCAGGCTCCTCAGGGCACCAGATTCTCACTGACAAGGAGTGCAGAGGGTCTCAGGAGTCTCCTTCCCAGAACAACACCCCCTTTAGGCCTCAGACTTCCTCCCTCTCTCCTTCCATTTCCTGGGCTTCCCTCTCTGTCTCTGGTTCCTCTCAGCCTTGAACATCCGCCTGGATTCAACAGCTCTCCCACCTTTTCCTTTCTTCTGTCTGTCTGTCTCTATGGTCAGTGAGCCCCACTGCCCCAGAATCCTTTGTTCCAGATCTTCCACATCTCTGCCCTTTTCTCTCCGCCTCCCAACCTCTCCACCCTTCTCTCCTGCCTCTTCTTTTCCTACTGTACATGGCCTGCTCTCACCCTTCCTCCTCCAACCCCTTTTTTCTGAGACAGGGTCTCATTTAGTCCAGGCTGGCCTCGAACTCACTCTGTAGCCAAGGATGACCTTGAACTTCTGATCTTTTGCCTCCACCTCCCAACTGTTGGAAGGACAGGCAACGTACCACACCAGGTATATGACATGCTGGGATGGAACCCAGGGCCTTGTGCGTATAACTGAAGCATCCACTAGCCACACTACATCCCAGCTTCCCCCATCTCTCCTCTCCCTGGGGCTTTTCTGACCAGATGCCCTTCTTCCAGTCCTACTGACACACTTCAGGTTGTTTGGGGGTTTGTTTTGTTTTGTTCAGACAGGGTCTCCCACTAGTCTGGAACTCACAGTTAGACCAGGTTGGTTGGTCAGTGAACAGAGGAGTCCCCTGTCTCCACCTCCTGAGCACTGAGATTACAAGCATGCACCACCATGCCCAGTTCTGTGTATGTTTTAACATGTTCCTGTGTGAGTACATGTGCAGGTGCACATCCACATGTGCCCAGGAGGTTAGGAACCAGAGATCAATGGTGTGTCTTCCTAAATTGCTCTCCAATCTATTTTGTGTTCCTGCATAAATGGTTTGCTTTTTTGTTTGTTTGTTTGTTTTGTGTGTGTGTGTGTGTGTGTGTGTGTGTGTGTGTGTGTGTGTGTATGTGTGTGTGTGTGTGTGTGTGTGTGTGTGTGTGTGTGTGTGTGTGTGTGTGCACCTGTGCATGTGTGTGGAGGCCAGAGTCTATGTGGTGACTCCCCTCAGGCAGGGTCTCTCATTAACCTGAAGCGCATCAGTTGGGCCAGGCTGCCCAGACAATGAACTTCAGGGATCCTCCTCTCTCCACCCCACTCTCCAGGCACATCGTGTCCAGCTTTTTTCACATGGATCCTTAGGGATCTAAATCTGTGTCTTCGTGTTTGGGAAGTGGGCACTTTGCCAGCTGAACCATCTCTCCAGCCCTCCACTTTATTTTTTGAGACAGGGTCTTTCACCTAATCTAGAGCTCATCTGTTAGTCCAGGCTGGCCAGTGAACTCCAGGGATTTATCTGCCTGTCTCTGCTTCTCCAGCATCCAGCATTCTGTGGGTCCTGGGTCTGCAATCAGGACTTCTGTTTATGTGACACTTACTTTCCTAACTAAGCCATCTCTGCAGCCCAGCACCTGGTGTCTTAACTCTTTCCTGTCCAGATTCTGATATGTTGTCCATTTGTTCCTATTCAGGGACCTCATTGCAAACACTGAGAATGTTGAACCTGAAGGTAAATTCTGCCAGCTTCCTGTATCCCCACTGGGCTCTGCCTTCTTCTCCTAAGACTCCACATTTACATAAGCACCCTCATATTTATCTTTTCCCTCCTTCACCCTGTCCCTTCACATAACCAAAGTCCTCGGCTCACTGTTGGAACTCCCAGCCATCTGTCTCCCTTCCTGTCACAGCTTGACCTCAGCACTCCATGTTCTTTTTTCTCTAGGGCAATATATGGACCCCAAAGAGAACCCCAAGGTAAGCCACTCAGACTCAGGCCTGAGGGAAGTTAAAGGGATGTTGAAGAAGGAGGCAGAAGGGGGGAGGCTGCAGGTGTGGAGAGGACACTCAGGCTGCAGCTGCTGCAGGTGTGGGCAGGACACTCAGGCTGCAGCTGCTGCAGGTGTGGAGAGGACACTCAGGCTGCAGCTGCTGCAGGTGTGGGCAGGACACTCAGGCTGCAGCTGCTGCAGGTGTGGGCAGGACACTCAGGCTGCAGCTGCTGCAGGTGTGGGCAGGACACTCAGGCTGCAGCTGCTGCAGGTGTGGGCAGGACACTCAGGCTGCAGCTGCTGCTTTATGGTGGCCACAGCTGCACTGCTGCCATCTAACCTCTTGTCCCCACAGGATAACAACATTGTGTACGCCTCCATTGCCCTCTCAAGCTCAGCCTCTCAGGGAACACCACCCTGCCAGCCCGTCCATGGGAACCCCCAGGAAGAGACTGTGTACTCCATCGTAAAGGCCAAATGAGTGGGTCTGGGTGACCATCTCAGAGTCACCTCTGTTTCTAGTAGGAAGACTCCCAGCTTCCACTGATACCCACAGCCAGAGACAAAATCTCTTGGGTCACTGATACCCATGGCCAGAGACAGAAATTCACAGGTCAGGACGTTTGAGCTGAGAGAAAATGAGAAATTCTCAGTTCCCTTTTTAACTTCCTAGACCTTTCTCACAAAAATAAAAATCTACAGAATTAGCCTAAATGAATCTAATTTAGAGTCACTCACATGACCCTTAACTTCTGGCCCTCTAAGATCCCCTCCTCTATCACTTTTTTCTAGCTGCCCAAGGCAGGGGATGCCCCAAATGCTGGCAGCCAGTCTACATGATGTACACTCACATCTGGGAGGGTAATAACCAGTACACAGTGACTGATTCCCATGGACCACCACACTGGACATCGGCAACAACCCTAGATAGATGTGTGAGACAGGGAACTAAACAGCAAATGGTCACAATGCTTTCCTAAGTCCATGTTGCTCCCAGGAAGTTGGGGAGCCAGGACTCACAGACATGCTTTTCTGAAGGTTCCCCAGGCCTGGGTCCTGCTGCTGTCCCCAGCCTCCTATACTTTCCAGAGAAAGCAGGGTGCCACAGGGACATGAAAGGAAGCCCAGCCTAAGCAGTGGCCCCATAGACCTGCTTTATTACCCAGGATGCACAGCTCTGACCTGAAGCCTGGAGCAGGTCACCAACCCCGACATTCAACATCTGCTCAGGATCACTGAGAGGTAGTTAGCAGTAGAAGGACCAGAGCACACTACTCCTCAAAGAGGCCCGCCAGGAACTCCTCTGAGCCATCCCCCTGCTGCGACTCCCCTCTCTCTTCTGCCTCTCCAATGTCTCCCATGAGTTGCTCCAAGTCCAGGTCACTGGGACCATCATCTTCAGGGGGGATCCTTGCTGCCTCCTGTGTCAGGGGCTCCTGAGGTCCAGGACCTTCCTTTCCCCATGGACAAGCCCCGTGTGGAGCTGGTGGACCAGGGCACTTTGATACAATTTTAATTTCCTTCTCCTCAGGTAAGTTGGTCACTGAGGCCTTGCTTTCGGGAGACTTAAATTTTTTTAGGGCCTAAAGAGAACAAAGGACATTTTGAGAGTCCCTTTAAGTCAACCTATCCTGATGTTTTACAAGCCAGATTTCTGGATTCTTATGTTTAAAGCGTCTGAAAGGATAGAATGAGGAACATGGACTTTCATGTCACTCTTGGACTCCAGCTTTGTGTTAGCTGTGTGTTCAACATGGGTCTTGAACAAATCTGAACACTTCTGAGCCTTACCTAGTACATTTTTATCTGAAATGTCAAGGGCCTGGAAGAATGGATCAGCAGTTGGGACAGCTTGCTGCTCTTATAAAAGACTGGAACCCACACCTGGCACTGTTAACAGGTCCAAGAACCTGTGTGTAGACAAATCCTAGGCCCTAAGGAAAATCCACTCCCATCCTCTACTTAACGGACATAGAATTAAAGTGACTCTAACAACTTCACTGCTGTCCCCACAGATCTGTGCGTCTCTCAACCTTGTCAGAGATGCTTCTCCTTGCAGCAGGTGACAATTAACAGAGTCACTCAACTGGTCAACGTCCTGAGAATGAGAGACTGTGGCACCTCAGTCCTCATAGGGACATACCACATCCCTCTTCCCAAGGCTCAAGGATCGTTAAGAAAAGAGGGGGGTCAGGACAAAAGGCGGTATAAGGGCCAGAGGTAGTGGAAACTGTATTTTCTGAACACACCAGGGCAGTTGCACAAATGAACTCACAGTGATTGTGACAGCAGGTATAAGATCTACACAAGCTTAAACAGATAAAATTCAGTGTGGAAAGGGCATGAAATCTCACTACAGGCTGAGAAGCTACTGGCATTGTTTACAAAAGGTATAATTCTATTTTGTGTGGACGGCTGTTTGCCTGGATACATATGAATCAAATATAAGTTCCCAGTTTTTCCTAGGGGCTCAGCCCTCCAGGAGGTAAGAGCAGCATCTGAGAGCTGGAGAGCAGCAGCCTGAGAGGCAGCAGAAGTCCGACTGGGATTCAAACCCTGAGGCTGAATCTGCAGGGTGGCAGCAGCCTGCACTCACAGGGAAAGCTAGAGAGCCAGTTTCTAGGGAGACAAAAGGGAGGCTTGGTGAGTGCAGAGCAGGGAAAGCAGGGAGGAGACATGAGTTCAAGGCAGGGGAAGGAAGCAGAGGGAGAAGGACATGGACAAGGGCAAAGGACCAGGAGAGCTGAACTCAGAAGCAGCCACGGTCACAGGGATCTTGTCAGCTGAGGTGGTGTCTCCTCTGAGCATCCCTGGGGTGTTCACACAAGCCGACAACCAGGATAATGGTCTGGCCAGTCATCTATGGGAGTGTCCATTCATCATCTCCTCCCTCCAGACAACTGGGCACAGGTAAGGAGCCTCAAAGCTGTTACTCCAGGGGTCATGTGACTTGCCATATCAGTTTCCAATGTTCAAAAAGGACAAACAGCAAAGGAGCCCACAGCAAAGACTTCACTGAACCAACATTCTCAACAACGTTTAGGTCAAATCCCCTTAGGGTGAAGGAACATCACTGTTGGAATGGGGAGCAGACATGGCTTCTAGCATGGCTACCAGTGTTGGGGATTTGTGTTTCCTGGCCAGAGCCAGGCGATTAAAAGAAGTACTAGAAGAAGCCAGGCAAAGTGGCATATTCCTGTAATCCCAATGATTGACTGTAGAGATAGCAAGACCATGAATTGGAGGCTCCATTAGTACCTACTGAGTTAGAGGCCAGCCTGGGCTACGTGAGACTCTGTTTCAAAACCAAACAAACAGCAAATCTCATAAAAATCCAGAGAGGTCATGGAGGCTGGTCATCCATTAGCTCACTTTGGTTGGAGACAGAGAACTTGAAGACGTCACCAGTTTTCTCTTTAGATTCACATAAACAAATTCTGTGACAATTAATATTTTCTTTTAAATAATATATATAATGTTGAAGAGGAAATTGGGCGTTTCTCCATTTCTGTGACCTCAAGCTCAGTGACCTGTGAGTTTCTGTGTCTGGCCTTGGCTATCTGCAGAAGCTGGGAGACTTCATGGAGAGGAGCAAGAGACTGAGCTGGTCACCCAGCCCGACTCACTGGGCCTTTAGTACACTATAGAGTCTCTTCTTGGGGTCCCCTAGGCAGGGGTGCAGGAAGATGCTCATGCTTGGGTTGAGCAACACATGAGGGAGATGAAGATGATGATGTCATCCTAGGGGAGAAAGAAGAGGTCAGATGGGGGTGGGGCAACTGTGCTAATGTAAAGTCTCAGGTGCAGCCTGAGTGTCCTGTCTACACCACCAGCCGCCATCCTTCCACCCTTTCTAGCATCTCCTCCACTCTCCTCAGGACCCAGTCTGGACAGGTAACTCTGGGTCTGTATGTTGTCACTGGGGTAAACAAATAATGAGTGGGAGGGTAGGTGGTGTGAAAGGATGGGTGGACAGATGGACAGTTTTCATCAATGGTGATATCTGTAGGGTCGGGACCCACAGGAAGTGCACTGTGAGTAATTTGAGGGGAGTTTCTGGAATTGGAGAATTCGGAGAGAAATAGAGAGAGTGTTGAGCCTTTTGGGTATAATGTTCGAGTCTGAATGCTGGGGACACTATCAGGAACTGGGGTCTGAAGAATCACATAGCCATGCCTAGAGAGGCCATGTTTAGTCAGGATGAGGACTGTGTAAACATGTGGTGGCAGATCAGCTGTGAGACGTGCCTTGTATGATTGTGTGTGTCTGTGTGCAGCTGCATATGTGTGCAAGGAAGTGTGTGCTCCTGTTTGTGTAGGCCAGAGGACAACCTCGGGCATTACTCCTTCTCAGGACACCATGCACCTTGAACTATTTCTTTGGTTAGATGGTCCTTGTTTTTGTTAGTTTGTTTGCTTTTTGGGTGTGGGGACAAGTTCTCACTATGTACCCCTGGCTGGCCTAGAACTCCCTATATAGACCAGTCTACATTCAAGCTAACAGATGCTCACTCATCTCTGCCTCTGCCTCCCAAATGCTAGAATTAAAGGCATGCACCACCATGCCCATTTTCAGGTTTTTCCATTATATTTACTTATTCATTCTACAGGGGCCAGGCAGACATGTGCTACAGCCTGAGCAGCAGCCGGGTACTAACACTGCAGGCTGACACTCCCAATGGTCACACACATGTGTGCATGTGTGCATACATACCAAAACTCCAGGCTGCTCTTCTACAGATAGTGCCCCTCCCCCATGAAAGTATCATGGCTGCCAGGCCCAGTCACTGCTATTATGGGAAACATGGTTGGCATTACAGGAGACTGATAACAGCATCCTGGACATAAATAATATTTCATCGCAGTGTCCCTATGAGGATTCACTTGAGTTCAGGCCATGAGAGTCTCACAAAGCATATGTCTTGGGATTAAGGGGCCAGCAGGTGGCAGCAGTGAAGCTGAGGACAAACTGGAGTAGCTTTTGAGTCACTGTCTAGGGGAGGGAGACAATACCCTGGAAGCCTATGGTAGTTACAGACTAGGCAAGCCAGCAGGCCAGGGCAAGAGTGTCCCATGGGCCTTGGCTCTGCCGGGTGCTGTGAAGAGTTCCTGAAGGACAAGAAGAGGACAAAGAGCAGATGGTGGTGGGGACACCGAGCTAGGGCTGGGACTGAATGTGTTTCCTCATCACCTCCATCCTCGTTGTGTCTGAAGTGAGCAGAAACTGACCACTTCTGTGCCTGAGGTTATTAGACAGACAGACAGACAGACAGACAATCAGCATTGTGGGACACATAATGAGAAAAAGTTGAGGAGGGGAGGGCAGGAGTGGAGGAAATCTGGAGGTGAGGAACCAGTGATTACAGGCCACATGGGAAATGGACAAGACTGGATAAGACAGGAGGTCAAGGTGGAAGAGAGGAGAGCCCGGCATGGTGAGGTCAATTCCATATCTTCCTGTCAATAATGAGGGCTGGGCTCAAGGGCATGGCCATCCTCTCAGTGACCACAAGGAAGGATCTTCTGCAGTGTGGGAAAGCAGAAGCCAGAATCATGAAGGAAGTTGCTGGTCACAAGGAGGTGGAGATGGGGAGGTCCTGCCCCACTCTGTCCTCCACATGAGAAGACTTGGTGGTTGTGTGCCACTTTACCCCGATTCTCTCCTGACACCTGCACACCCCAGGATCTGTCCACAGGGCTCCTCTCCTGCCTGGTGGCTCTGCTGGTCTCACTTCCTGGAGGGAATCAGGCCATGACTTGGATCCTGCTTCTGCTGCTGTCAGGTGCATGTCTGCAAGCTGGTGAGTTTGGGGACCTTGTTAGCAGGGACTCTGCTCTAACCACAGGAGGGGCTGGTGGGGCTGGGAAGAGCAGGCTGTCATGTGGACAGGTGTCTGCTGGAGGAGCCAGCTGGTCATTTCAACCCCAAGAGAGAGCTCATCCTCAGAGTGGTTCAACCAACCCTTCTCTGTCTTTTCTGTCCCACCAGCCATAAGGACAGTCCTGCTCTGTGTCCCACACACACCTGTAGGTGAAGAGTCGGAAATTCTGTATTGTCCTTTCTATCCCCTGTAGAGGGGTCAGATTCTCCCCATTCTTCACAGGAAACTCTGCAGGATCCAAAAGAGTAAATAGCTTTGGAATCAACCAACCAACCCGCCTCTCTGGTGTCCAGGGCAGCTCCATCGAGATCCCCTTCTCCTTCTCCTTCCCCTGGGGGTTGGCAGAGGATTCACAGATGAGGATTCTCTGGAGATGGAAGCACTTCCATGGGGAATTTATCTACAACTCCACCTCACTTTTCATACACGAACATTTCAAGAACCGGCTCATCCTGAACTGGACACAGCCTCAGACATCTGGAGTCCTCAGAATTCTGAACTTGAAGAAAAAGGACCAGACAGTGTATTTCTGCCGAGTTCATCTGAACACAAAAGAAGGCACGAAAATCTGGCAGTCCATTGATGGAACTCAACTAGCCATCACACCTGGTGAGCCACCCTGGCTCTGGCTTTGATTCCTCTGGCTTCCTTGTCCCTCAGATGTCACCTCAGGCTCCACAACTCTGAGATTTCTTTCATACTCCTTTCCCTTGGCTCTGTCCAGGCCTCTGCCAACAGGATCTTTCCCTTGCAGTTGTGACAAGTCTTTGCTGTCCCTCTGACCTTGTCTGTCATTCTCTACTCAGAGGGAACCCCACCCTACTCTAAGCTTCATCACAGGCCCTCCACCCTACTTCACCCCTTTTTGTTCCAAATCTAATACTGTGGTTCTTCCCACTTCTACCCTTCCCCATCACCTCGAGGTGGAGTTACTTCTCTAGGATGTAGCTGACTCACTTGGTCCTACAGCAGGGATCCAATTAGTCCGTCTATGGAGCATCTTCACACAGTCCCAACCTAAGCCAAATACAAACAGTAGGCGCCCATTGGATGTTCTTCATGCCCTACAATGCAATTGTAACCTCTGCCTGTCACCACAGTCCCTATTTCCCCTCCTAATCCCCAGGACACATCCCTCACCTCTCCACCCACTCCCTTGTCTCTTCTCAGTTTCCCAACTCTCTTCCCTTCTTCCTTGCCCTCCCCTGTCCCACACAAGCCCCCAGGATTTTCAATACAGTGTCTCCGGGTCCATGATGTGGCTCTCTGTCTCCAGACAGAGCAGCGACTCTGAGGCAGAAGTAACTGCAGGCCCATGCCCTGGGATCACCGCGACCCATCCTAGTCACTGTGTGGTTCCACACATGGCCATACCAGAGCTGAGGGAGCCTATGTGCTTGGTTATCGATCACAACCTTCCTCTGTGGCTATTAATTTGTTTATTTATATTTGGTTTTTACAACAAAGAGACTCACTATATATTCCTGGCTGTCCCAAAATACACTATGTAGACCAGGCTGGCCTTGACCTCACAGAAATCTGCCTGCCTCTGGCTCCCAAGTGCTGAGACAGTCATGTGCGACCATGCTCAGCTGTGGCTCTTGACTATATTAAGGTCATCCTGTGAGAGGACACTCACAGCACAGTTCTTGTGCAATCTCTACGGCTGCCATGTTGACCTGATGTAATGTCAACCAGCAGCTGCCAGGGCTCAGGGAAGGGAAAGGAGCTGTTTGAAGGGTCTAGGGCAGTGGTCCCCTACCTATCCTTTAATACAGTTCCTGGTGCTGTGGGGACCCCCATCCATGTAATTATTGTGTTACTGCTTCGTAACTATAATTCTGATACTTTTATCAATTTGTAATGTAAATAACTGATATGCAGGATACCTGATATGGGACCCTTGCGGGGTTAGGGACCCACAAGTTGAGAACTGCTGGTTTTTTATCCAAATAGGTAAACTTTGTGGAAATTAACCATAGTGAAGATTGTAGAGCAAACGAGTATACTCTTCATTGAGCTGTACACTTAGAGCTAAGATTACATATTTTCTGTTATACTTTTTGTGTAGTCAGTGTGTGTGAACATGTGGGTCTACTAAATCGGGTGTGTGTGTTTGTGAATGCATGAGTGTGCACATTTGTTCATGTCCCTATAGAGGATAAAGGATAACTTCAAGTGGCATCCACCTTATTTTTTGAGACAATGACTCTCACTGGCTTCCAGATTCCCAAGTAGGCTGTATGACCGGTGAGGCCTAGGGACAAGCCTGTCTCTGCCTCCTCAGTACTGGGATTGCAACTCTCTCAGCTCTGTTTGGTTTGGAACTAAGTACGTATAGACAAGGTTGGCTTTAACTCACAGAGATCTGGCTGTCTCTGACTCTATGGCTAAGATTAAAGGTCAAACTGGCTTAAACCAGCTCTTTATATGGACACTAGATATGAAACTCGGGTTCTATCGCAGAAAGCAAAACACTCTATAGACTGAATCTTATCTGCATGTTACAAACATTCATAACAAAATCAGTTGTACTTCTGTGGCTTAGTTGTCTGTGACCAGATGACAATCCGAGGACACAGCTCCAGGACAGGTGGAGAGTGAACATTTGAGTTTGCTCTCCTGGAGTCTCAGCCTTCAGCTTGTGTTCCCCTCTCTGAGAACTTCTAACAGCTGTTCCCCATCCCACATCCCACAGAGGAGACAAGGTGTGACACTCACCCCATCCCTCCCTCATCCAGGGGGATCTGCTGAATCTTCATCTCTCCCAGGCATCAGGACCACCATGCAGAGCTCCTTCATAGTCACCTCTGCAGTCACCACAGCTGGCCTGGAGGACACAGGGGGCCTGAGGAAATTTTCACTTGTGAACCTGGGAGCCACGGTCGGGGTGGTTGATGGTCTTCCTCTGGTGGAAGCAAAGGTAAGTGGTCCAGGAGAGGCCCTCACCTGAGCTTCCCCTCTGAGTTTTCTCAGCTGTGGGACATGGAGAAGGATGGACTTGTTCAGGGCAGAGTCCAGAGAACACAAGGACAGAAAGGAAGCTGAACTCAACCAGGTCTGAATCTGCACCTCCTTCCTTAGAATCCCAGCTGGAAATTAGAGGAGCAAATGCAGATGAACACAGAGCCTGTGCTAGGGGATTCAAGAAGGCACTCATGTGTCTCAGGAGCTAACTGCTCATTTATAAAGAGCTATGGCTTCTAAACAAGGTCTGAGGTAGACCAGCGCTCAGGGATAACATCTCACAGGAAGTGGAACCTGTGAAAAGAGAACTGTTTGACTTGGGGATATGGAATTAACACAGAAATTAAGACAATGGTGTGTAATAACCCACAGATGAAAAGAACATGTCTGGGAAGAACCTACCCTAAAAGAGGCAAAACATTGTCCTAGAAACAAAACACTGTGAGAGAAAACACAGAACAGCCAGGGTATGGCTCAGTTGGTAAAGTGCTTGCCCTAGAAACGGGAGGACATGAGTTCCATCCTCAAGATCCCCCTAAAAAGTTGACGATGTTTCAGATACTTGGAGAGAGAGGAAGAGACAGTAGGGTCTCTGCGGCTCACTGTGCTGACAGGCTTGCCCAATCAGTGAGAAGCCAATGACAGACCTGTCCCTAAAACCATAGTGGACAGCTCCTTCAGGATACCTTCCAAGGTTGTCTGATGTCATCCACATGTGCATGCAGAGTTGAAAAGGTCCACATACATATACATAATGCATCAAAAATAATTTTTTAAAAATTTAGAGAAACGAATGTAAGGATATTTGCAGAATGGTTATTGTTATACAATAGGTCTTCACAATGCAAAAACACTCTAAAAATTCAATGCAATCCCTATTCAAATCTCAGTTACATTTTGTAGAGATACAAAATTTTGTAGATTTGTTTTCTAAAATTCATAGGGATTCTAAGAACACAAAAATGGGGACACAATGGGGGAACACCTGTAATTCCAACAAGAGGGAAGTACAGAGAGGGGATTCAGGAGTTCAAGGTCATCTGCAGGTACATAGCAAATTAAAGGCTAACCTGGGTTCATGGAAACCTTGTACACACACACACACACATAAACACACACACACACACACACACACACACACACACACACCATAAAAAACAACCTACAAGTGTTGAGTGACTTCAGAGCACATTTAATTGTATGTTAAGAAGAAGACTAGGATAGGTACAGAGACAAGTAGAGTGCAATAGAAAGCCAAGAATAGAGACTTGAACATGTATCTCCTGGATTTCAGAAGGGCTCATCCCTCCAACAGGTAAGAGGGGCATCTGAGAGCTGGAGAGCAGCAACCTGAGAGGCAGCAGAAGTCTGACTGGGATTCGAACCCTGAGACTGAATCTGCAGGGTGGCAGCAGCCTGCACTCACAGGGAAAGCTAGAGAGTCAGTTTCCAGGGAGACAAAAGGGAGGCGTGGAGAGTGCAGAGCAGGGAAAGCAGGGAGGTGACATGGGTTCAAGGCAGGGGAAGGAAGCAGAGGGAGAAGGACATGGACAAGGGACAAAGGAGAGCTGTCCTCTGATTGGCTGTGCTGTGCAGAAGGACAGCTGAGGACTGTCCTCAGGTCCTGGTGACTCTCAGAGCTGTCCCTGGATGGCTGCTGCAGAGCTGTTTGCTGCCCTGGGCTCCTAATGTTGTCTGAACACAGAGAAGAGCTGAGAGGCAGATGGAGGATCAGCATGGCTGCCACACTGACACTGTTTCTTCTCCTACAGGCCAGCAGACTAAAGGTGAACCCCAGTCAGGGGAGAGCCTGTCATCCCAAGATACAGGTGAGGGACTGTGTGGGGAAGGCATGCAAGGGAGCAGAGAGATGATTCAGTCAGAAAAGCTTTGCACATAGGCAGGAGGACCTGAGCTTGAACTGGAGAGCCCACATTATAAGACAGTGGGGTGGCAGGAATTGTAATCTCCTTGCTGAACAAGTAAGAGCCTTACAGAAACATGAGGCTGGCTGTCCAGATACTCCAGCCAAATTGGTGATTTCAAAGTCAGTGAGAAGCTACATCATTTTTTTAAAAATGTAGATTCCCCAAGAGGATAAATCATGACAATAATATTTTCTAAATTTTATTTAAAAATATTTTGTTCATTTTGCATACCAGCCACAGATCCCCATCTCATCCCTCCTCCTGCTCCCCCGGCCACACCTAATCCCCCACCCACCCCTCATTCCCTCCTCCAAAAGAGTAAGTTCTCCCATGAGGTGACAGCAAATCCTGGTACATTCATTTGAGACAGGACCAAGCCCCTCCCCCATGTCTCAAGGGTGAGGAAGGTGTTCAACCATAGTAATGAGATCCAGAAAGTCAGCTCATGCACTGAGGATATAACCTAATCACACTGACAGGGGCCCCTCAAATAGACCCAGCTACACAACTGTCTCCTGTATTCAGAGGGTCTAGTCTGGTCCCATGCAGGTTCCACAGCTATTAATCTAAAGTTCGTGAGTTCCTTTGAACAAAAAATTGTGTGAGCCAGCAAAATAGCTCAGTGGGAAAAGGGACCTGCTGCCTAGTCCAATAACCTGGGTTTGATTTCCAGGGACCCAAATGGTACAAGAAGAAAACTGACTCTGGAAAATTGTCCTCTCCCTCTCAGGGTCACCCAAAGGCACCTGCTGAGACATTTGTTTTTGCCCAACTAACAGACTCCAGGGGCCAGGATCTCTCACCAGGGAGGTTACTTTACATCATGGGGTGGTCACACATCAGCATCTCCCTACTTCCCTGCCTCCTGCCTGGGAATCAGGGAGCATGGCTGCACTCTTGTGTGTGAAACATCCTGTCCTTGGACACGTACAAGAAGAGAACCCCCACTTCTGACATGTGGGTTCTGATTTCCTCCCATCAGAACACATGTCAATTTGTCTGTCTCTGGTCCTGAGAGCCCTACTGTGCTGTTTCCTGTGTCTATGGAATCAATAATAACACTTTTTAATAAATATCTTACTCCCAGCAATCCATCTCAGTGTCTCTCTTGACACTCTATGTGAAACCTCTTAGAGAGTGACATATTGTGTCCATGACAAGGGACAGAGAGAGAGGTAGGGACCATGGTCCACACTCAGAACGCTGGTTCCTCTCCCCTTCTCCCTGGACACTGACATCTCAGCCATAGTCCCAATCCCTCCATGTTCCTCCTCAGGTGACAGACCATGGCTTGATTGGAAACCATGTTGGGCTTCCTTTCCTCACAGGCCCATCTAGTCTAGGATGGTGGCATATGCCTGTAATCCCAGCCATAGACAGGGAGTGAAGGAAGATCATGAATTGGAGGTTCTCATTAGCACCTATTGAGCCTGAGGCCAGCC